GCAGGAGATGATGTCCATACTGGCGATACTGGTAGGTGAAGCCGCCAGCCGTCTGTCGATCTCATGAACATGGCGGCCCTCTGGTGTAGTAGGTCTGTTGATGATGGGTTGGGAGTCAGCGATATGGCCGGCTCGGGAAACGTCAGCGTAGAAGCTTGTCTGCTCCTTGTCCTCGGGAATGGGCGCAAATAGGCCATCCAGCTGTGGGACGGCGTCCTCTCTCTCCCAGAAGGAAGGATCTAGGCCGGCGTTTCTGTGACCTGCGATTCCGCCAGGAGCGATCGGCACGTTGGCGCCGAGAGAAGGGTCGAATTCCGGTCCATCCCAGAACTGAGCACATACTCGCCGCCAACATTTCTTCAACTCGGCCAAGATCTTGAGTTGAACCTTGCAACCACGAGGATCTGTTGATAGCTCGTCTACCATGTCGTTCAAGAGGTTGCAAAACGATACGCGAAGGCCGTATTCGATGACGAAATCGTCCATGAAGTAGTTCAGGATCCAATGACGCATGGCGACGAAAGTTCGCACTCGTACCACCATTCCAATCTCATCATTTCGGCCCAAGGCCCATCGCAGGCGCGCCATTACCATCTTCAGCAGATCACCCGCCTCGAGGAAGGATCGATACGTGAGGAAGAAGTCGGAGATGAGTTCATAGTCGAGAAAGCTTGGAGAGGTGAACTCGGCCACGAGACGAGGCGGGGTAGCAGCTGTCACTGCACCCGTAGCCGGAGAGTATCGCACTATCGATCTGTCGTCGCATGTCGGTTTGAAGGTGAGGGCATCGAACATGGCTGGTTCGATGACCAGATGGGTCGACATGTAGGTTGAACGGATTGCAGGCAGCCGAGGTGTTGTCATGGGAGCGGGACTGAGGGGGCCATTGTGTCTCGCGGGTTCCATGGGCGGCAGGCGTATTTGAGGAATCGAGATGGGACTAGGCTTCTTGGACGCTATTGACGCAGGTATTCTTGGAGTAAGTTCGCCGGTCTGAGACCGATGGAGGAAAGAAACGTTACTGGAGCGGGGAAACTCTTCTGTCGGGGCGTAACTCGATCCTCTGAAGAAGGCAGTGCCTCTGGCGGTGAATCGTGGGTTGCCTAATTTCCAGTTTGGAATTTCAATGTCTAGGAGGGGGATGTGAGGCGCATCCAGATCCTCCATAGTTTTGGCGCGCCGTTCATCGCCCGGCTTGGAGATGACAATTTTGAAGCCTTCAGCTTCGGAGTCCCTGCTCGTAGTGGCGCCGTCATGAGCTGTCGAGTCGGAATGAGCACGTCTGTGTTGAGAGGGCCTCGGGGCGTGGCCAGAAAAATAGCGACTGTTTCTCGCCGTTGGGGGAGTGGCAGCCGTTGCAGGCGTTGCAGGAGTTGGTGGCGTGGCGGTCCATTGGCTCAAGTGAAGGTCGCTTGCGTCTTTTTGCCTCTGTTTTTCGGTCAAGGCATCCAGACCAGCCGTCCCAGGTGGCGTTATGGGAAAGACAAAATTTGGCTGAGGGTATCTCTGGTTGGCAGGACGAACCGTCGGTCTGTTTATTGTCAGCACGTTTTCGGAAACCCGAGTAAGATTGTGGTGAGGTCTTAGCATTCCCGCCCATGTGAGAGGTACTGAATCAACAAACACCGCATGCAGTCATGGAAGCAACCCACCTCAGATATATCCGACCGTTATTGCCCACGTTGGCAACGGTGAATTGACGTCCTTCACGTCCAGCAGAGCCTCCATCGGGGGCGATTTCAAACTTGTCATCGGCAGAGCTATCAGCTCTCATGCGGCGTATCGGGACCTGATTCCTTTCCTCCTCGGATATCCTCTCTGTGGCTGGTAATAGTGGTTTTGTTGAGGGTCCTGGCTGGCGCATCTTGTTTATCCATTTTCCTCCAGAACCAGCAGTCATGGCACTCTGGGGTTCCTTTCCTCCGGTTGCAAGTTTCGGCGGCCGTCCTAATCTCGAGTCGCGGGGGGCGATTGGGCTTCTGGGACTCAGCGGACTGCGCGGAGTCTGGTCGCGTTGCGGAGAGCGCACACTGAAGGCGAGTCCATCGTGCGAGGACCGCGATTCGGTGGCCTCCATGGCCGGTATCGCGTGTATTCGATTACAGCTGCGGGCAGCGGGTGTTGCTCGCTGGGGTGACTGGTCGCGAAGGCATTCGGTCAGCTTTTTGGCGAGACACAACAAGATGCAGTCGGACTAGATTGGGGTGCAGCCCAGTGGAGGAAGGAATGAGGCTCGGAGCGGGAAGTAGGGTAGTGGTAAAAGAGACAAGAGACGGGCTAAGAAGCGGCGCATTTGTTTGTGTGTGTGTCAGAGCCCCGAGGTGAGGTACGTAGGTAGGCACCAAACTCGGGACGAGGTCATGGACACTCAAGTGGTGCTATACTGGATTCCGTAAAGGGCCCTCGCGGGTCCGTGAGATCCAGGGACCAACTCAGCTCACAGGGTGGCACGATGGGTCGGGTCTGACGCTCGGAGGAAAAAAGGCAAAAAAGATGAGCTCAGTGTGCATGTGGGAGTGGAACGTACGTTTTGACGCCATAAAGAAGCAATGGCGAGCGGCGGCGGCGGTGGTGAGGGCGGCAGTGTTTTGCAACCAGACACCTCTCACAGGGTTCGCTCAATAGAGACAGAGACGCAGAGGCAAGCACAAGCGTCCAACGGGCATAGTCCAAGACCAAGACCACAGATTACCGAAAGTTGAGACCTTGTGCGAGAGTAGGAGAGTCGAGGGCAGGTCGCGGGCTACCTTGGAGAGACTCGAGGAAGAGAGGGTGGAATGCGAATGCGCTTCGACGCACAAACAGAAACACAGGGCCGAGTTGGTGATTTGTGAATCGCAGGAAGGAGGCCGGAGACTCGGAGGATGCGCTCGTTCTCGTGCAGCGGACGCTGGTTCGTTATGATTGTCTGTTGCCTTGAGTTGTTGAATTATTCGTACAAAGTGTATTATTCGAAGTCTCGAGGTCTCGAGAACGGAAAGGAGGAATGAGGAACTTGAGATAGTATTTCCGTACTCCGTGGCCGTCTGGCAGGTAATTACACGCCAGTAAGTGGTGGAGAGAAGGAGGAATGGACAACTACGACGATAGAGGAAGGAAAGGCGAGAGAGAGTACCTTGGTGTGTATGTACCTTACACAATGACCCAGGCAGAGGAAGGAACGGTACAGATACGTAGGGAAGGATACAAACACAGAAGAAAGCAAGGCGGAAGGAGACTTGGGAAAGAGGCCAGACCAGGCCCAGACCAACAACCACCAGCAACCAGGAAGCGGCCAGAGAAACAACGACAAGCCGCAAAAGACCAGGATGGTAGGACGCAGGATCATGGATGGGGGAGCGAGGAACACAACCGGGAAATGGGCACTGGGCAGACAGTCACTCAACTCAGTCAGTCAAAGTGAGTTGGTGGCCCGTGGGACGGGAGTTGATTGAGTGCAGGTGAACCGCGACGCAAGGTACCGGTACGTACTCCCCTGTTCATGTTCCTTCCGTCTGTCTCTCTGTCAGGTGGGAGATCAGGGACAGGGGATGCCAGGAATAAGGACAGGGAACCCGGCTGGGCATGGTTGGTCAATTGCACCTTACCTCACCTCACATCAGTCTACCTTACCCTATTGAATGCTCCTGAAGTGTTCGTACAGAGATGTTTGCCAACTTGGTATTTTACTGCTATTCTAGGTCTATGAATGGGTTCTAGGTTCATTCCCTTGACACAGCAAGATGCCCGTACTAGTAAGGTAGCAAGAATGAGCTTGAGATAGGTACCTTATTGTGCGAGGTATCCGTACTTGAGAGGACAATTTTGGATGGGCAATGCTGACTGACCGCAACCTGGAAGATGCAGGAGCAGGTGGTGCGCGTGGTTGCTTGGGTGGCCCAATGCGCTAATCTCCCCTAGCAGCTGCTAAAATACCTACCTGCAAGAGATACGTATCCTATTGGGCTGATGTGTTTTTGGCAAGAACCACTCATCGCCACCCCACTTTGTCCATTTTCCAGTGTTGTGGCTGGTCCGGCCTAGCCATCCACCACTACCTAGCCGGTATTTGTACTAAGCTAACGGTACGTATCCAGAAGAGTACCTAGGAAGATACTTATAAGGTAGACCAAGCAGGGGTCGACAACGAGGGCAACGGGGAGGGGCCAGCCACTGATGACTGCCCACCCGTTGTGTGATTTTTTTTTCCCTCTCTTTCGCTCGCGACCTGGACGTACCGCGCGCACGGTTAGAGCCCCGTAGTTCGAGGTCTTGTGTTTGCAAGGGTGGCTACCACAGTAGATACGTACCCCTGTGTATATCCTCGATGTACCCGGCCGAGTGTCATGGAACTGTGAAAGTCCACCTCAGGTGCGCCGCCCTTGCCCTCTCGGGGTTACCTCGATGAACCTGCCGACTACAGTGCTGCTGCTGCCGCTGCTTGTTACTTCCTACTGGCTGCCTTGCCTTCCAATTGGCATTCACGATGGCCGATTTGTGCGCTCCAGCATTCATGCCCGTCTTGTTGCTTCAACCTTGATTTCAGTCATTCTCTCCTCTCGCTGCTCTCTATCGCGGCTCAGTCTGATTCCGGATCCGAATTACAGACAACCACTGCACGGAACGGAGACGGGACTTGATCAACTTGAGACGAGACCAAGCCGACCCAATCACCAGCCGAGAGAGCCTCACAAAGTAAGGAAAGACTCACCACAACCGCACCATGTGACGAAAGATGAGTCGCCCTGCTTTGGCTTCATAGCTTGCCTGCACCCTTCGGCCGCGGCCAACGCAGCATGGCGAGACAAAAAGAAACGGGACGACAGCTTTCACAGCCGCCATACGCGCATCGTTGCCTTCTCTTCCCTTGCCCCCAGCGTCCATGCAGGGAGCGTTTCCCCTCGATGTGAGCCTCGAGCTCCAGCCTCCAGAGTTCAACCTCGCAGTGTCCGGCCCCGAGGCCTAGTGCACCAAGCTTTCTGGATTGTCGGAGTTCGGCTGCCCTCTTTGCCGTCATCGCCATGTCACTGCTTTGCCCTGCTCAGCATGCGGTTGACCCGTTTACCATCCCTACTCCGTACTGCGTCCCCGACTCTGTGCTGAGTATCGACGCAATGGCCAACGGCCCATGCTTCGGCATCCTCGTCCCCCGGTTGATGTCATTTCCTGCAACCAACCTCCTGGATCCCGCCCGATATCAGTCCCAGAAGCGAAAAGAGGCGACATCACCAAGCGAGGCGGCGATAGACAAGGCCAGGACGCCAAACCCCAGCACCATCCCCAACCTCAGCCGGCATACGGAGTACTGGGGTTCAACCACCCATCACTGATCTGAGACTCAGAGTTGCCTCTTCTGCACTCCGTCTTCCCGCTTCTACCCATTTATTCTCTCCTCTCTCACCATTCGCCTAGTGTCGAAGGCTCAGCACCGTGACAAAGGTACCGGTTATCTCCCTGGTCCCTTCGCGCTCGTCTCCGATGCTTGCCGCGGGCCGTCAAATTGACGTTCTGGGATTATGGGATTGAACGGGACTGAAATTGAAACGACGCATCCGAGCATCAAGGACCTTATCCCTCGAACAACGTGACCCATTGCACGTCCGAGTCCCAATCAATTCTCTACATGGCACGGATGCCTCAAAAATCCAGAATTGCTTCTCTACCCCACGGCAACGTGCTTCCACCTCCACGGAGTGAGGATACAGCTTTGCGACTTGGCCCATCTCTTTGGCCAAGACGATCACAGCAGTGTCAAAGACACAGTTGGCTCTTACCGATAGATTCTCCGTGCCGCCCCGGCCTTCAGATCAGTCCAATACGCTCGTTACCCTCGGTCGCAACCCCGTAGAGGGGGGTAACGGGACAGATACAGAAACGGAAACCACCCGGCCAGATTGCACAGGAGACTGGCGTACTGCGTACGTCTGACGGATACGCTGTAGTCGCAGGTCACCCATTGTTGCTCTGCACCTGCATCTGCACTTGTTTCTCTGCAGGCTGCAGCACCGTCGTGAATCCATTCGGCCCAATCACCTTCTCGCCCAGCCCTTGTCAGTCATGGTAACCCGCTTTGCTGGCTACGATTGGCAGGACTCTTCTGGTCCCTGAGACCGAAGCCTCAGAAGAAGACTTTAAGAACACACCGATTGTCCTTTTCAGGGTTGTGTGCACATGGAAAACCAGGCCCTGCTTGAGGACAGAACATCGGAAGGTTGGCACGCATCTCGCATCTGCAAGAGATGCTTATAGATCACACCGTTGAGCTTGCTCTTCGCCAGACTCTGTCTGTTCTCCTCTCAACAACCGAGGCAAGGACGAGAGTGGAGGATGCGACAAATCTGAATGATCTACCCATCGTGTCGTGACGTCTCAAGTTCTCAACAGTCCCATAACCAGGGCAAAAAGGGACACTAATTAACCCTCCATACCCTGGACTGCTGAATGGAGTTCGGAATACAGCACGAACCCTCGTCGGCCATCTAAAATACTCGTGGCACCCATCACGAAGGAAAGGCCGAAAGAAGGGACGGAAATACCCCGCAGACGCACAGCAACGGGGTCGCTTAGCAAACCTTTTCCCTGGTTTTCGGTCAATGACAAGTGCAGTTCAGTTGGAAGCTTCAAACCTGACGCACTTTCGTAGCAAAGTCCACACCTCCCAACGGCTACCTCCTATTCCAACTGCATCTGAAGGAATAGTTCGTCTGCGCTCTCCCAAGGCCATGACGAAAGACGAGTCTCGGATGGGGTCTGCTTTGTTTGCCAAAGTTACAGGTCACTGATGGCGGCACTAGCATGATGTCTTCCATCTTCGCCAACACGTCTGACACTAGAGAGAGAGCTGCAGGGGTAGTCGACGTTGGTGGGGGTTTAGTCACGACGCGCTTCAAAGAAGACGCCTGGAAGGTTGATCCATGATGCGGTACCAGCATCGCGAGAAAATTGTGTTCACGATCCCAGGCAGAAGATTCAAAGTCAACAAGCAGACACGCTCTGCGGTCGCAAACTCGCAGTTCGCGGATACGATGACACTGTCGACAATCAAAGACGCGGCGTCCCCGCCCGCTGGGGTTCCTTTAATATCACAATGTTAAATGACCAGCGACCAGGGTCGGAAATTGTTACAGGGGCCAGCGGCGACAGCCACCAGAGTCCCTGCCAGGCCATTTGGTAACCTCTCTCCTGTGAACTCCATATCTGGCTGCAAAATGAAAGTTCCTCTCCTCTTCTGCTGCGTAATCGTCCTGGCCGATGGAAGCTTGGGTCCGGCCCAGATCACAGCAAAGAAGACAGTCGCGAAACGCCATCAATGTTGGAGCGTCAAGCCAGTACGATGAGAAGTGGGAGATAGAGTCGACTTTTCGCAAACGCCCGCCGCAAGGCACCAAAGGGGCGAAGGCTGCACGCCACTCGATACTTGGAAGTTGAAAGTACGCGGACACGTCCGCCATCAACGCCTTGAACGAAGTACACTATCTACCTGACGACCGACAGTATACACGTCGGGACTACCTACTGCGTACACGGCGGGCAGGCTTCAAACTTGTCGGTCCCGATGCGTCTTCCATGGCTTATTTTAGCAGTCTCCATTAGCCGTTTCGTGGCCCGGTCTAGAAGGGCAAATTGAAGGGAGCTAACGGCGCCGTTTGCGGCACCAAAGGCTTGTGCCCTAGCAACAACAACGAGAACTTGAGGATGAAGAAGACGGCGGCCGTATTCTCATGCGCGCTTTCGACTTCAGGGACGAGGCCAAGATGGAGCTGCAGTCTACAACCCCTAATGAATCTCCATTCAGGAAAGGCTCCGTTGCAAGCACGTATCAAAACTCGATGGCATGATCGGATGTCGTGTTACAGCGTCTTTCCGGTGCCAAACCCATTGGGCCTGCCCCTCGTCTCCAACAATAGTGAGGAGAATAAGCAAACAACACCAAGATAATCACCAAAGGCGATCCAACGAAGAGGCGGCTGGTCAGCTGATCGCACCGTCATGCTGAACATGTTACACCCAGTTTCCAGTGGATCGTGTCGTGAAATGCAGTCTGCAGCTCTGTTTTTCTTCTTTCTCCAGCTTTCGGTCTTGAGGGGAGGCTCGGACAAGCCGTACTGGATCGTTTGTTGGTGACTCGCGGTAGAGCAGCTCTGTACTGCTGATCTCAATGCCCAACGCCCAACTTTGGGAATAAGTCACCGCGCCAGTGCGACTCCACGGAATCGAAAAACGGAGTACAGGTAATCGCACACGGCTACGTCTGTATGATCCTGAGTAGTGAGGATCTGTACTCCGTACCGATACATATTCCACGGCATGCGGGCCCAGAGCGTTGGAACCCGCATCTCTAGCGATCCTATTTAGGTACTGTGGCTCCCGAGTCACTGGTCCGGATGTCTTCCAGCTGCGATTTTACGAGTCAAGCACCGACAGGCAACATACAGCACCGATGGAGAACAGTGACTTATAGTTCGGTTGATCTTTGGGCTGCGTCTCTTCGGCAGTCATCTTTGCTTGGCCGAATCAGTCTACCACGCGTATCTGGCCCACGTAGGCCTGATCCAGCAGTATTCAGACAAGAAGATACGAGTTCATCGCGATGTCTGCGAAAAAGAATGGATCATTTGGCAAACTGTCTGCGATCTGCAACGGAGAAAGGCAGATAACCTCACTAATAACCTTAGTGACCCTCCCATCGCTCATACCATCTCTTGGCCGTCACATCTCAAGTGTGTCCTGGCCGCCGTGCCCGGCTTGCAGATCCGGAGTTCCGCGGCTTGCACCGCCATGCGATGTCGTTGTTAGGCCACAAAGAATCGTGACTAACACGATGCACAAGTCACACTGTCCGTGCCATGGGGGAGCAATGTATAGACAATTCAACGTTCTCTCGCGTTTGCTCTCTTAACCCGCGCGGCCTGGATAAGGATGATGGGTTCACCGTTCGGGCACCACCAGGACATGCCTTGGAGGCCTATGAAAAGGCATAATCCATCATAATCAACGACCTTGTTATTTTGCGAACCGGCTGGTCTTCGAGGATGAACCCCCACTCCAGGGTCTGGGCATTGACCAATGACTCTCGTCCGGGGGCCTGACACCATCATGCCGTCCGTCCTCCGGAATCTTTGGCATCACCATCGTACTATGCCGCCGCAAACCCCTTCAGTCATACAACTGGCACATATTGGCCCCCTTTAACCCTAGGAAATCGGGCCAAGGACCTGTTCGACTATCTGCACGTTGCAAACGAGTGTCACCCCATCTCGATTGCCCCGGCAAGCAATCGTCCGAGAGCAAATCATCCGGTCCCCCTCTTCCATGGTGGGAAACGCAACAAAGCCTCTCCGAGGCCACCGAGTGCGCGATGCTTGTCAATGCTTGCTCATCCAAAAAATCAGCTATGACCAGCTCTAACCACCGGCACCGGGCGACCCTGTCAAGGCTCTTCGGATTTCGATGAGCTCGAGACTCCGCCAACCCAGCTTCTTGGGTTGGCCCCATGTCTCTCCTGTGAACAGTGCCTCTCCGCGTCAGCACTGCCAGAACCCTTTTCCAGGTCGGTGCCACAAATGCTCCGTATCAGTCAAGCAAATGTTTTGCTCCACTAAGCGCTATCAACAATTGCAGCACGCACCATTGCAGGCGCAAAGCGTTGGTTCGACGCGTCGGCGTGGCGACGCTGTACGCGGACCACAAACGATACCCTCATCGCGTTTGTCACCGGTTCGGTTGTCCTTGGACACGCTCCCTCCGTACAGACGTACCTCGGCCAGTGCCCGGTTCAATAAGCGCGGCATTATATTCTCCCAGTACTCCTCGGGCTCCATCGACGCTGCTTCCGATAGCATATCAGTGACATATGTGAGATATAGGGCCCCCGGCGAGTACTCCGCTGAGTGGTTGCAATAGACGCAACACCCGCCCTCTCGTTCGCGATGGTCTCTGGGGGTTCACCAAGTGTCAGCGGGCCGCGGGGTAATAGCACGTGTCGGCGACGGTGCAACCTCGCCCGTCACACCGTCTTTCGTTATCTCGTCACTCTGTCAAACAGACGACGCGATTAAGCATTGTCAAGATCTTATTGAACATGTAGTAATAAACCGCATCGTGCCTTGGAGGTTCAAGATCCACCAGCACAGCGACTGTTGCAACCCATGGGCAGAAAAGTGGCGGGCAGTTCACCCAGTTCTCCCCTCCCCCTCCCCAGGGCTGGCTGGTCCTGGGGTTGCAGTGGCAGTGAGATGGCACACAAGAAATGCCAAGACAAGGAAGTGAATAAAGGCCCAGCCGACCACGCGAGCTGAGGCATGGGGGATGCGTCAATCTGCCGCCGTGGGATTGATTGAGGGTATATGCCAATGCCCATTGCCCACGGCTTTTTTACTGCCTTGCTGCCCATGACTTAATAAGCTGGCCGGTTTATACTATAGACCCGCCTCCATGAACTCAAAACAAGAATACCAGTCAAGTGGCGGGCGACTGATGATGCTGGAGACGAGAGTGGATGCGCTGTGAAGCTATATTCGGCAGATCGTCCTGTTAGGGCCATGGGCATCAACAGCCTGGCGAGTCTACGGAGTACTTTGTAATACGCGAGAGACCGCAAGCGATGTGATGTGATGGCGGGTAGGTCACCGGTCTCAATCCACCCGCTTTTCCTCCCGCTTTGACAGCGGCCCTCTCCATTCCCAGTTCCCACCGTCCGCCTTGTCTCAACCGCCTGCTCATTGCAGGTATTTACCGGCATCACATATGCAAGCTAGATATTGCAGGCGTGTTCGACGGTGGACTACCTGGACCTGGAACCCGCCTGTGCCCCACTGAGCACTATAATTACTTACCTCACTTTCGTCCTGAATTACATGCAGGTCTTTTCGAAAAGAGACAAGATGGATTTGGATGGAGACGTGCCAGAGAAAGAGGAGTTTTTAAGAGGGCGAAAGAAATAAGAGGGGCGCGCTTCTGCGGACTGCACGAGTGAAATTAAGGTTGAGTCTATTGCGAGAGGGTATTAGGCGGCAATCCCCGTTGTCTCTCTGTCTTGCAGCTTCACCGCCATTGTCTCAGAGTCACGTTGGACAGAAGCGATACAGTAGTATAGCAAAGGAGGAAACATACTCCATCATCCCACTGCGGAGCTGTTTCCTTCCTCTCTTTTGTCATTCGCTGCGTCGGCTGAGCAAGTTTAAACGTCACAGGTACACAGTATATCTTTGGATCCCGATTGGGAAGGCCAGAGAGGGATTTCCCCAAGGCGGAGTAACTAGAGGTAAGTTGCAGACTGCATCTGGTCTGCATTGAGATGTGATCGGCGAGAGGATGCAAGCAAGTTAAAAGGTTTTGTGGTTTTGCCTGGATAGTTAGAGCGAGTATTGATCACCTTGCCTTAGTCTATGGATGTGTGATGTGCAGAATTACTGTTTTGGGGGTGAAAGGTTGTGGGGTTTAACTGCCGAAGTATTGGCGGGAGCCTCCGATGGAGAGCGGGATGTTGTCCGTGAGGCGGTTGAGTGAGGTCTAGACTTTTGAGCTGCGTTGGTTTATGATGGTGCGGTGGTTGGCATGTGTGTGAGTTGTCGTGATGGTCTGGTTCGTTTCCTCTTGGGAAGTACGTGGTTTGCCGTGGAGTTGATCGCCGGGGTATGTGCTCCGGCCTCGAGACGGCTGCTCTTCAGAACGTTGTTGTCAGCTTGTCGTGTGTAATGATTATTGAACAGTCCATTTTGATATACCTGATTCATCCACGGATAGGGAATGCCTTTTCGGAGAGCGGCTTTGTTCTGTCTCGAACTCGAACGTGACATCGTTTCTGTCTTGACCATGAATGCCAAGCTCATTGTTCCTTTCTGTAAATCCCACCGTGTGGTCGGCTCCGAGCATTGGCGGGCTTCTTGACAGCAAGAGATATCAATCAGAGTGCCGAGTATCACGAGCCAAAGCTCGCTTGCTGTGAAGTCGTCTTCGAACACAGCTTTCTGGGAACTGCTACTTCTCTGGAGAGATACCAAGATGCCGTTCGCATAGAATCGTATCATTTAGTTATTGGTAACGAACGCATTCACATCAGGAACCCCTCCGTGCCTAGATGCTAACATATCAAAATCCAGTCTCAGGCCACGCAACCCACTCCATAGGATCTATTGTGGAAGGCCAGCCGTCGCTGGTGATACTTTCTCCGCGAACTGTCGACTCTATTCTCAATTATTCTGTCGCATTGCCTTCCGGACTGGAACCAGCCTCTGACGTCCTTGGCATATCCTGGTCTTCCTCAAATTCCATTCGTTCCCCAAGATCGAAGAAGAAATCTTCCAAAAGCAGATCCCAATCAAACCAATAGTCTTCCAACTTACTCCACAAGTCATCATCATCGGTGGTCCAACCACGGTATTCTTTCAGCATGTTCGCGGCAACCAAATGTCCTTGTCGCTCTGCAAATTTGATTGCTCGCATGTATTGCAATCGACCTTTCCCGCCTGTTTCGGCTCCCTCACTTAAGAGAAGCTGGATCATATCTATCCTTCCATGCTCAGCCGCGCCTTCCAGTGCAGTTCGTCCGGATTCGGGAGCACGAGGCGCGTCAACGTCAGCTCCCATATCTATCAACATCTTTGCGATTCCAATTCGTCCTGTGATGGCCGCTAGCTGCAGAGCCGTGGCACCGGCGTGGTCTGCGGCCGGTGCGTTGATATCAGCGCCTGCGGCGAGGAGAAGATCGATTTTAGTGAGGTTTCCGTCTTCAACCGCCTGCTGCAACGGGCTTCTTCCTCTCTCACAGATCATGTAAGTCTTCTTATGGAAATCCTCAATTTTCACGGATTTCAGGTTTCCGTTCCTCATGGCGAGAAATAACATACTCTTGTCCTTTTGCTGTTCTGGTCGAATGTCGGACTCGCTCGAGAAGAGTCGAATTTCGAGAGTCTCCTCGCTATCGATGTTAAGGATAACTTGAATCAAGTGTTCCCAAGGGCGGTATCCGAGTTCTTTGAGCTTCGCTTTGAGCCACGATGACTCAACTATGAACGAGAGTGGCTCAGTGACTTCGGTATGCTTGTCATGCCAGAATGGTAGATGTCTCTGTCCTACTGTCCATTCAAAGAGAGCCGTCTGAATAAATTCACTTGAAGGGCTGACTGCTGAAAGTGGCGTACCGATGTGGCCACAGAGTATTCTGAGCGCTTGCATGTCACAATTGAGAACAGCTAGGCCGATGGCTGTTCCTTCCAAGAGTGACGGGCATTCAAAGTTTTGGCGGTTTTGCAAAAGCCTCTGGAGAAATTTCGTACATTCGTGCTCTGACGCGAAGAGAACAGCAGCACAAAGGGCGCCTCCGTCGTACGCTTCTGGACTCTTCTTAAACATGTATTGTACCATGCCATTGAAGCCGGACAGAAAAGCCGCCTCCAGCAAAGAAACGCCACTCTTGAGCTGGCAGGATCTCTCAACGTCGTGTCGTACTATGGCTTCAACGAGACTGCAGTTGTTGAGGGCCATTGCTAGTTGAGCCTCATTGCCCATCAAACAAGCGCCAGCGTCTAACAGTGCAATACAGGCACGGACACCTTCGGCTCTTACATCTTCTGCTGAGGGTCCTTTCATCAACCCCCCTACAGCCTTCATTGACGCTGACAGTACGGCTTGTAGCGGTGTGTTTCCATCAGAATCCAACCAGTCGACGTAGGCGTGGTCTTTCAGAGCAACCTCGATTAGACCAAACCTGTAAACTTGAAGAGAGCCGTAGTAAACGGCCCATTCGGGCATTCTGGCCCCATTTTGGGCCAGATAGTTGTATGTTGTGTTGTCCCAATCGACCCCTAAGATCGCAGCGCCCGCTGGATTCATGAAGCAATTCCCCAACCGGCCAAGACCCTCTGTCAATACCTTGCGGCGTTGGCTTGGGCAGCAGGTAATCCACGAACAGCTGTCAGGATTGACGGCGAAGCTTGCATTGAGATCAGCCCCATGACAATGCAGAAGTTGGACCACTTCGTCGTTTCGTCCGAAGGCCGCGAAGGTCAGAGGAGTTGGGGCCTCGTTCGATAAGTTAGGTCCGTGAACCGACGAGCCATGACTGAGAAGCCATCTACAGACGTTGGGAAAGCCAAACGCTGCCGCCATGTGCAGGGAAGTGATGCCTTCACTCTCAGCTCCAATGACATCGCAGCCAATGCTGTGAAGGAAGTCCAGCACAGCAAGGTGACCCCTCGACGCAGCATTCATGATAACGTCGACCTTGATGAAATCCGGTCGTGGTACATATGGGTTGATCGACTGTGCGCGGTCCAGTAGATGCTCAACAGTTTTTTTTGCTCTCGCCTCGTCTGAGATGCTAGCTGCGCAACCAAGCACGCTGACTTTCCTGGAGAAAGGAAGCCCGAGGCTGTCGTTGTCGCCCGATGAACAGTACAAAATGTTGGCTCCATGTTGTACGAGTATATCGATCAGAGGAATAGTACCATACCGAGTGACTTCCATCAAAGATGAAGGTCGATCTCCAGCTATTGATTCGCCCTGAGAGAGGCCGAAATCTACGATGCGCTTGAAGACTTCAGTCGTCACAGGGTCGAGGCCAGCATTTCCGTAGTCATAGAGAAATTTTAAGTCGTCTAGAAAGTCTCCGAACCCTTCATATGAGAGGCTAGGGTCGGCACCAGCATCCAATAGGTGAAGTGCAAGTCGTGATTCATGCGATCTAACTGCCAATTCCAATGGCGTGAGCGCCTCGCTGAAAAATTTGATCGGTGTGTTCGGAGATTGCCCCAAGGACAGCAGCCACTGCACAACCCTTTTGGCTCTTGCTACCTCATGGGTGTCATAATAGTGCCAGAGTAATTTATACATTGTAGGAAGT